TCAAGAATGAGAGAAAAGACTTTGCCAACTATACAATGACTACTGTAAATGATTAATATCTAGAATCTATAAAGAACTTCAGAAATAAAATACAAAATCCCCAAACACTCAATGGACTAGTGAAATAAATGGACAATTCTGAAAAGAAGGAATAAAAATCACCAAAAAATATTAAAATAACTGTTCAACATCCTCAGCCACCAGGGACATGCAAATTAAACATATTTTGAGTTTCCATCTCATCCCAGTCACAGTGGCTACCGTCAAGAAAATAATGAATACTGTCAAGAATTTGTGGAAGGAGGAAAGCTTGTCCATTGCTGGTGTGAATAAAAAGTGGTGTAGACACCATGAAAGTGAGCATGGGGCTCTCAAAAAATCTAAAGACAAACCCAGCTATACCACTCCAAGGTATGAAGCTGAGTGGTTCTGAGTTAACACACCACAGAGACATGTTTATTACTGCACTATTCACAGTAGCCAAGATACAGAACCACCTTAGATGGTCAACAGAGAGATGGCTGGAAAAAGAAAATGTGATATATACACACAACGGCTTTTTATTCAAGTTTAAAGAAAATTTAAATTATGATATTTTCAGGAAAATGGATGGAACTAGAAATCACTGTGTTGAATGAGATAAGCTAGACTCAAATACAAATATCACATGGTCTGTCATAGAATCTAGATGCAAACGTGTGCATATGTGTGCATGTATGTATGTGTATGTGACATGGAAATAGAGAATTATGAGAAGTGAGGAAGTGGTCTAAAAGGAGGTAGAGGGAAAAGATGAAAGAGTAATGAAAACGTGCTTTCAAGCGGACGAGGGGAATATTTGGTTGGAGAAAGGGCACCAACGAATGGGAGAGGTGATCATGTGATTTCCGTCCGTAAGTCTGCTTATAGGTAATATCACAACTTACTGACTTGCTCATGTTGAACCATCCTTGCATCCCTGGGATGCAACCAACTTGATATGCTGTATGATCTTAATGTTTTTAAAATTCAGTTTACAACATTTTGTTAAGAATGTTTGTGTCTCTGCTCTCAGCAAATTAGTCTATCATTTGCTTTTCTATTATTTTGTGCCATTATCCTGTTTTTGTATCAAGGTAATGCTGGCTTCATTAAATGAGTTTGGCAATGTTCTTTCCTTTTCTGTTTTATGGAACAAATTGAGGACCATTGGTGTTGAATGTTTGAATGTTAGTTGGATTCAGCAGTAAGTCCATCTAGTCATAGACTTTCTTTGCAATAGTCATAGACTATTACTACTTCACTCTTGTTTCTTCTAATGGATCACTTTAAATTGTTTATATCCTTTTAGCTTAATTTAGGGTGGTCATGTATATCTAATAATCTATTTCTTCTAAAATTTCCAGTTTTTAAGTATGTTTTTCAGATATTACTTAACAGTACTGAATTTATTTGGTATCAGTTACAGTGTCACCTTTTCCATCTTGAATTTTATTGATTAGAGTCTTTACTCTCTATTTTGTGATTATTTGACTAAGAGTTTGTAATTCTTTTTTTAAGAAACAACTCTGTTTTAGTTATTTTTGTAACATTTATTTAATTTCCATTTCATTAATTTCTGCCTTAATCTTTACTATTTCTTTCCATCTTTCTTTCCATACACTGCTTTTGGGTTTGGCTTGTTCTTGTTTTTCTAGTACCTTGAGGTTCACCATTAGCTATTTGTTTGTGATTTCTCTGTTTTTGAAAAATGTGCACCCACAGCTATAGAGTATCATCTTTGTATTGTCTTTGCTGTATCTCAGCAGGTCTAAGAAGTTGTACTTTATTTTCATTTGATTCTATGGATTTTAAATTTTCTCCTTGATTTATTTAATGATTTGTTGATTGTCCAGAAGTACTTTTCAGACTTCCAGTATTTATATAGTTTCTCTTATTATTGATTTCTATTTTCCCACTATGATCTAATAAGTAAAGGACATAATTTCCACCTGTTTATATTTTTAAAACTTACTATTTGACCTAGAATGTGATCTATCTTAGAGAAGGTTCCATGGACTTCTGAGAAGAATACATATTCCTATCTATTTGATTATTCTGTATTTATCTGTCAGGTTCATTTGAACTACGGTGTAGTTTAACTCTAGGGCGTCCATTGGTTTTTACCTTGGACAACCCAGCTGAAGATGAGAATGGGATATTGAAGTCAGGTGACCATTCATGTTCACTAGTATTTATTTTATGGAATGGGAAATCTAAATATTCAATACACATATATTTACAATTATTATATTTTCTTAATGAATTGTTCTGTATATTAGTATATACTGACTTTCTTTATATACTTTAATTCTGGCTGAAGTTACATTATCAGGTATCACTACATTAACTTATTTTTGGCTTCTGTTTGCTTGATAAAATGAGATCTATCCTTTGACTCTAAGTCTGTAGGTATCTTTATCAGTGAGACATATTTCTCATACACAAGATAATTAAGTGGATACTTAAGTGGATCTTGTTTTTTAATTCAGTTAGTCTGGGTCTTTTCATTGGCGTGTTGTTAATATAACATTTAAAGCTATTATTGAGCAAGGTCTATTGACTGCTGTGATTTTGTTGATTTTCTGGTTTGTTGGATTATAGTATGCACTTTTCTATCTCTCCTGTTAGTATCGGGGTTTTCTGCTTTACTGGGTAGACAGGATACATGCCTTCTTAGCTCTCCTTTGTTTATTCCTCTCATGAAATTTATTCTTCCCTGTGTTCTTGTGATTGAAACCGTCTTTATCCTCTGTGTGTAATGTTACTCTAAGTACCTTTTGTAGTGCTGGCTCGGTGTTCATGTACTGCTTTATTTTATGCTTATCTTGAAATGTCATAATTTCTCC